ACATTTTACCGAAAAATACCTTATTCATGTTGAATAATCATGGTACATAGAAATGAAATACTGTGAATTGATAAAGATGTAAGGGTGCTGAGATGCAAAAATCCCTACTGTGGTCCCATTTGAGTTAAAGCATGGACACGCTCCTATACATGTCTACATTCTGATACTCGCCAACTGGAATAGTTTTGAGCAAAGAACCTTTATTGGCAGTTACTTCTGGGGAACCAGACTGTGGTTGGGGGAAAGACTTGTATTTTCTGTAATTACTTCTGGGTCACTTATTATTATGTACATAACTTACTACTTATTGAAATAAAACTCCTCTTTACAGATAAGAAAAAGTTCAAATATTTTATATTTATAACTAAAGAGTATTTGTTTAAATAATAATATCTGTAAATTTCCATTCATATTGAATATTGTCTAATTTTTACTTTGAATTTTGGAGGAAATTCTCTTAAATTCCTCTGGTATAAGATGGATGGAATAAATAAAACACATTTATTAATTTATTAGTGTCATTTATTAATGTCATTAAAACTAACATTGTGGAGGAAAACAATTTAATTGTTGATATGTATAATTTTTGCTGATGATCATTTCCCAAATATAGAGGTAGAAAAATGTCTATGATCTGTTGGTTGTCGATGGAGAGAACATTTTTAATATCTGTATATTTTAGTTTTGCCAGGTAGTTAGTTTATTATACTGTTATCTCATTTAGTTAGAAAATTAAGTTTAAAAAAGTTCCATCATTGGGGCGCCTGGGTGGCTCTGTCGGTTAAGTGTCTGCCTTTGGCTCCAGGTCATGATCCTGGAGTCCCAGGATCCAGCCCAGCGTGCTGGGCTCCCTGCTTAGCCCAGAGTCTGCTTCTCCCTTTGTGCCTCCCCCGCGGCTTGTATTCTCTCTCTCTCTCTCAAATAAATAAATAAAAATCTTTAAAAAAATTAAAAATAAAAAAAGTTCCAACATTTTATGCAGTGAACATCACCTAAACATGAGGTATCTTTCTTCTGTTTCAGTGAGGACTATTCAAAGGCAGTTGGCAAACTATGGCTTGGAGGCCGGATTCTGCCCGCATCTATTTTTTTTAATGGTCTGTGACCTAATTGAGGGTTTTAAGTTTTTTAAATGTTTGAAAAAAAATCCAAAGAAGAATATTTTATGATGTGAAAATTATATAAAATTAAAACATTTGTGTCTATAATTTAGTTTATTTAATTCAGCCACATTCATCCGTGGGCATACTGACTACTTTCAGACTATAAAGACCGAGTTGAGTAGGGAGACGGAGACTGTGCTCCCAGAGGCTACAACATTTATTATCTGTCCTTTTTTACAAAAAGTTTGCTTAGCCCTCAAATACGATAATAATAAGAGAAAGTAGGGATGCATTTCTTTGTGGAAAACTGTAGATTACATTGAGTCTTCTTGATAAATTTTTTTTAAAGATTTTATTTATTTATTTGAGAGAGAGAGAATGAGAGAGAGCACGAGAGGGAAGAGGGTCCGAGGGAGAAGCAGACTCCCTGCTGAGCAGGGAGCCTGCTGAGCAGGGAGCCCGATGCGGCACTTGATCCCGGGACTCCAGAATCATGACCTGAGCCAAAGGCAGTCGCTTAACCAGCTGAGCCACTCAGGCGCCCCTTCTTGATGAATCTTTTAACCTAATAATTTGGCCTGACTGATGCATGTGTACTGGATCTGTGTGTGTGTGTGTATGTGTGTGTGTGTAAACCAACTCACCTCCTTTTCTTCTCTTTTCCTTACTTGACTTAAATTTCATTTTGCTCTGTTTTATTTTTGTAAGCCACCATCAATTGAGCTCTTAGAATTAGTAATCATAATACTATCTCAATTATTTATTGAGGGCCTTTGATGTGCTAAAAGTATGGTAGGTGTGCTAAATATATTCTCATTTAATTATCATAGCTTTAAAAAAAATTGTGGTCAGAAACACATAATATAAATTTACCATCTTAACCATTTTTTAGTGTTTAGTACACAAGAATTAACAACATTTACATTGTTGTTGTGTCACAGATCTCGAACTTTTTCATCTTGCAAAACTGAAATTATATCCATTGAATAGCTCCCTGTTCCCCTCCCCCACAGCTGACAACCGCCACTCTTCTGTCAGTTTCAATGACTTGGACTTGGATACCTCATCAAAGTGGAATCATGGAGTCCTTATCTTTTTTTGACTGGCAGTTCACTTAGCATAATGTCCTCAAGGTTCATTCATTCATGTTGTTGCATGTGACAGGATTTCTTTCTTTTTTAAGGCTGAATAATATTCTGGTATGTGTATATACCGTTTTTATCCATTCATCTGTTGATGGACATTTAAGTTGCTTCCATTTCTTGGCTCTTGTGAATACTGTTGCTATGAACATAGCTGTGCATATATCTCTTTGAGACCCTGTTCTTAATTTTTTTGGATATATACCCAGAAATGGGACTGCTGGATCCTATGGTAATTCTATTTTTAATTTTTCGAAGAACTTCCATAGTGTTTTGCATAGAGGCTACACCATTGTACATTCTCACCAGTAGTACAGAAGGATTGTAATTTATTTACATCCTTACCAACACTTGTTATTTTCTGTTTTTTTGTTTTAATTTTTTTATAGTGGCCATCCTCATGGGTGTGAGGGGGGGTACCTTATTGTGGTTTTGGTGTGCGTGTCCCTGATGATTACTGATGGTGAACATCTTTTCATATGCTTATAGGCCAGCTGTATGTCTTCTTTGGAGAAGTGTCTGTTCAAGTCTTTTGCCCATTTTAAAATTGGGTCATTTCTTTGTGTTGTTTTTGTGTTGCATAAGTTCTTTATATATTCCAGATATTAATCCTTTATCACATGTATGGTTTGTAAATATTTTCTTCCAATTCATAGATTGTCTTTTCACTCTGTTGATTGTTTCCTTTGTTGTGCAGAGTTTTTAAGTTTGATGTAATCATATGTGTCTATTTTTGTTGTTGTCTGTGCTTTTGGTGTCATAACCAAAAAATCATTGTCAAATCTGATAGGAATCTTTTCCCCTGTCTTTTCTTATAGGAGTTTTAGTGTCAGGTCTTATATTTATGTCTTGAATCCATTTTGAGTTAATCTTTGTATATGGGATAAGGTAAGGGTCCAGCTTCATTCTTATGCATGTGGATGTCCAGTTTTCCCATCATTTATTAAAGAGACTACCGTTTTCCCATTGCGCAGCCTTGGGACCCTTATTGAAGAGCCTTTGACCATAAACACAAAGGTTTATTTCTGGACTTTCTTTTCTGTTCCTTTGGTCTAGATGTCTGTCTTTATGTCATAGCAATTTTAGCAGGATAGCTAATATTCTCCCTATAGATAAGAAAACGGTTTTTTTTTTTTTTAAGATTTCATTTATTTGAGAGAAAGAGAGCACAGAGGAAGAGGGAGAGGGACAAGCAGACTCCCTGATGAGCATGGAGCCCGATGTGGGGCTTGCTCTCAGGACCCCGAGATCATGACCTGAGCTGAAGGCAGACACCTAACTGACTGAGCCACCCAGGCGCCCCGAGAAAACTGAGGTTTAACTAGAAGGTAGGGAGCCAGAATTTAACCACAGGCTTTCAATTTATACAGTGTGCTAACCTAGTTTGTCACTTTTCAGAAATCAGACTGTCATTAGTACTTATCCAAAACAAGAAATATCTGAAGATGGAATGTGTTTCACTTTTATGAATGACTGTGTGTATGGAAGTATATATGCATGTTTCCTGTGTCTCCTGCTAAATTATAAACTCATTGAAAGTTGGAATGAAAATTTTTTGGTATGTTTCCCAGCACTGCATATATCACCTGATGGGTAACTGGAGGTTCGTATATACCTATAGGAGTGTGACCTAAATTATAAAATAATGATCTTACATTTGTAGTGTTTACTATGAGCCAGGGGCTCTTCTAGGCTCTCCCACATGTCTTATTTTATTTAATTCTTACTAAAACACCTTGAGGTAGATATGTTCACATTCTGTAGCGTTAGCCTCCTAACTTCATTTCCTGGTTTATTCAATTATATGAAAAATTCTACCACCTGACCTATCTTTGCTCTCTTTCCTGGGCTCTGCAACTCCACTGTTACTGTGATCTTCCATCTTTAGGGGCTAAATGAAGTCCTCCCGTCCTGGTAAGACATGGAAGACGCCCCATTATTTTAGCAAGTCAGGAGCAGTTAGCAATTTTTTCCCTTTATTTTTAAAGTTTTCTCAGTTTTTGATTAGGTAAGTATGTATTGCAAAATTCAAGAACAAAAAGATAGTAAAAAGTAAACCTCCTTCCCATGCCTCTTGGTGCCCCATTTCTCTCCCCAAAGGGAGAGATATCTGTCATCAGTCTCTTGTATATTGTTCCAGAGATATTCTTTACATAAGCAAGACTGTATATGCACATGTATGGTTCTACATATGTCTTAGCTTTGTATTTTACAATTGTAATACCATTTTACACCTTGATTGCTTTCCTCTTAGTATGTATTAAAGATTGTTCCATTCTGTTGCCTATAACCTGCCTCTTAATACTCGATTCTGTGAGTGTACTGAATCTTTTTGAACCATTTCTTTATTGATGGTCATTTAAGTTCCTCCCCGTTCTGTTTTTCTGTTGCAGCAGTCCTTCACTGATACTCATTGTATAAGTTTCTTTAGTGCAAGTGAATTCCTAGAAGTGGAAAGGCTGGGTCATTGATACGCGTTTACAGTTTTGATAAGTTGCTCTAGCTTGCTGTCCATGGAGGTTGTACCTGTTTCTACTTCCGGCAACTTTCAAATTAGTGCCTTTTCCCCACACCTTTGCCAAACACTATGTTTCAAAACATTTGACATTTTTTACTAATAAGAGAGATGCAAATTAAAACGACAGTGAAATAGCATTTTCCACCTATTATGAGTGAGATCAAACATTTTTTCACTTACTTAAAAGCCATTTATTTTTCTACTTCTGTGAACCAAGTCTTCGTATTTTTTTTTTTAAAGATTTTATTTTTAAGTAACCTCTACACCCAAAGTGGGTCTCAAACTTACAACCTCGAGATTAGGAGTCTCATGCTCCACCAACCGAGCCAGCCAGGTGCCCCAAGTCTTCATATTCTTTCTTTTTTGTTTTTGTTTTTTTTTGTCGGATCATTATTATTTTTATTACTGACTGTAAACTTTATATTAGGCAAAGTATAAAATCAGTGGGGCAGAAATGGATTATTTAAGAAATGGTACTGGCTCAGTAGGCCATCTGTATTAAAAAATACAATTTGGATTCCTGTGCTTTCCCATACACAAAGATTTGTACATTGATTAAGGTGGAAAATCAGCGTGGAAAAACAGATTTTAAGCTACTAGAAAATTATAGGTAGGTAGGTATCTGTGTGACGCAGTAGTGTGGACTAAGATGTCCAGACTGTTTAGGAGAAGGTTCATACGTTTTGACAACAGAAAAAATTTGACATGGCAAAAGGCACAAATAAAGTTAAAGACAAAAGAAGTGGGAGGCAGTGTTGCATATAACCATAAAAAGTTAGTAGCTTGATCGAATAAAGATCTGTTATTCAGTAAGTACATGAGAACCCAGAAGAAAGTAACAGCCAGTTCTCAGACAAAGGAAACAGGCTCATCAGTGAGTGTATGGACAGGTCTTGATTGCACTAGTAAGCAGAAAGGGAGATGCAGAGTAAAATTCCAATGAAATACCATCTCATTTTCATCAGATTCACTAAAATTAATAAGCCTGATAACATCAAGTGTGGAGAGGATGTGGGGTATGGGAGCTTCTATCACTGCAGAAAGAAACGTGGGCCAATAATATCCTAAGGAGAGCAGTTGGCAACGTATGTCAGTTTAAACATTTGTATTCCTGTGAGTCCGGGCTTCCATGTGTATGCCCTAGAGCAGCTCTTGCACATATGTACAAGCAAGTTCATTGTAGCATAATCTGAAAAAGCTGAAAATTGGCAACAGTCCAAATGTCCATCAATAGGGGATTGTAATAAACAACTTTTATGGTTTAGTTGTATAATCGAGTGCTATACAGCAGTTAAAATAAATGAGCTAGAATCTTCTTACATATATCAACATAGATAAATCTTGATGACAGTGTTTAGAGAAACAAAGCGAGTTTCAGGAGTGTGTACATATATAATATATCACTCATGTAAATTTTTTTAAAAACCCACAAAACTGGAGTATATAGACTTTGCGGATACATATGTAGGTGGTCAAGATTTAAAAACAGGAATGATCCACCCTGACATCAGGATAGTAATTGCCTCTGAGGAGGGAAGGGTGTGTGTGTGTGTGGGGGGGTCTGTCCTCAAAGATACCAATATTCTTTATATTTTTAAATCTGAAGGCAAGAATGGCAGCCTACCATTCCTTAAATCTTGGTATTGTGCACAGGATCTTCATTTGTCTCTGTATTTTTTGATATACTTTAAATACACATTTTGAATTTTTCCACATGCCTTTTCGCTATGTAGAGATAGTTTGTGCTTTAAGCTAATAATATAATGAATTTTATTAATAATTTAATGAATTTTATTAATTTGAATTTTGGTATGAAACCCACTGAATCATTGAAAAAGTGTATTGCTGGATTCTGTTTTCTAATACTTTATTTAGGATTTTTACATTAATATTCATGAGAGTTGTCTCATTTTTTTCTTCCTCTCTTTTGATGCTCCCTTTATTAGATTTTGGTTTCAGTGTTACGCTGACTTCCTAAAAAGAATTTGGAGCAGTTCGAGTATGATCAGAATTGTGTGTTCCTTGTAGTTTGGTAGAGTTCATGTTTATAACTTACTGTATGTATTTGATATCATACTTAGCCTGAAGGGTTAGTTCTTGGATAACTGTTCTGGTATCTATATGGCTGACTGGGTTTTTGTCCCTGTCTTCAGGGATCAGTTTGGTATTTCTATTTTCCTGGAAAATCACCAGTGTTTCAAATTTATTGGACAAGATAATCCTTTAATGTACTTTTCTTTTCTACTACATCTCTGGTGGTTTTCCTGTTCTCATTCATTACTTAGTGTATTTGTGCTTTCTCTTTCTTTCTTTCTTTCTTTCTTTTTTTTCCCCTAGTTCGGGCCAGCTAATTGCTCAGTTATTTGGCTATTTTTTCTTAAAGTAACCAGCTGTTCAATTTATTCTTATTATAACTACTCTTTTTTTAATTCAGTACTTTTTGCTTTTTTCTTTATTCATTCCTTCCTTTTGCTTTTTCATTTTTTTGTGACTTCTTGAGATTGCTTACTTTATTTTCCTTATTACTTCTTAGTATTAGCAGTGAAAGCTATGAATATTCCTTGGATTTCATGTGGCTCAGGACATACTGCCCCAAAATATGGCACACTCCTTAATCTATCATAGTCCTCAACCATTACCCACTCTTCTATCAAACTTAGCATGAAAATACACAGGTCTGATTGCTTCTTTTTTTTTTTTAATTTTATTTATTTATTTGAGAGAATGAGAGAGAGAGAGAGAGAGCATGAGAGGGGGTTGGGTCAGAGGGAGATGCAGACTCCCTGCCGAGCAGGGAGCCCGATGCAGAACTCGATCCCAGGACTCCAGGATCATGACCTGAGCCGAAGGCAGTCGCTTAACCAACTGAGCCACCCAGGCGCCCGGTCTGATTGCTTCTTTGGGTCTTCCATTTCCTTATGAAGGCTTCCATGTCACGTAAAACTTATTAAATAAATTTAAATGCTTTTCTTCTGTTAATCTTTGTCAGTTTAATTTTTAGACCCAGCCAGGGCTCTTAAAGAGAGTCGAGGAACACTTTTTCCTGCTTTAGTTGTATCATAGCTTCTGATATGTTACGATTTCATCATTATTTTGTACTTCTTCTTCAATATTCAGGTTTGAATTCCTCTTTATTCAGAATTTAGAATCTCTGGTAATTCAGACTTTCTCCAGAAAAGTGTAGAAATGACTAACACGCTAAATTTTTCTGACATATTGTGTAGCCAAAGAAATCATCCCCAGTGCAGGAAATGTCCCCAGTGCGGCACCCCGGCCACGGTGTCTGGAGATGACATGGGGCTATTAGGGCTGCATTTAAGGTGTGTGGGGCACTGGGGAGGGGCAAGGCTGGTCTAGAATTACAGTCTTTCCTTTCAATTGCCTTCATTCCCCTGATAGCTCAGGGCTGGAAGCTCTTACATAAAACAAGGTATTTTCCTTGGAACGGGATGCTTAATTTTGCCAGTTCTCTTTTCAAGTGACTCACATTTCAAGGGCACCATGGGATCTGCCTCATGGGATCTGCCTTTGGATGTTGAATTGAGATTATGTGACGGATAGTTTTAGCTATATATGGGTGTGCCCTGACAACTGTTCTGTTGTGGTATTGTAGCCATCATATTATTTTCATAATTAGAAAATATTTTAAATAAATGTGTTGTTGTAAAAATGAATGCTGAAAAAAATAGAAAATGCTAATATTAGTGAAAAATGTGATGACTCCTTCCCTTCAGTCAAATACACATTTGATCAAATAAGCATTTGATTGAAGGGAGTTGTCTTTGTGTTCAGCTGTAAAAGAAAATTAAAATTAAAGGTGTTCATGTTGGTTTTGCATCATATGATATTGTCTACTTCCCCGCTCCCTCCTCCCCCACATCACGTTAGGCCTTTGGACAACTCTTCATACTCAACTTACTACGCTTTTTTCAGGAATTTGTTAAATATCAGAGTAGAAGATTCTGTACACTTCTTGTTTGAATTTACTCCGGTCTATAGGTGTGTTCAGTGTTCCAGCAGAATTCATGCTCATTCTTAAGCTCTTCCCTCCAAATTAGAGGAGAGGAGTAACCTCCCACGTTCCCAGCTGTACCGAATCGGAAGGCCTTTAAGATGGTGTAATGAATGCTTACCGTTGGTGAGATGAGATGTGCTGTCACTGTTCACTTCCAGGGCTGGACCAGGGTGGGGCCAGCACCTCACAAGATGAGGCCTTGGACGCAGGACTCCCTCTTGCTCTTGTGCATGTTTGGAGTTGGCAACTGCATGGTGCGACCCTGAGAGGCAGCGCCCCCTCAGATTTTGTGCACTGGGACCTTGGCTTGCCTCACCCTAGTCCCAGCCCTAACCAGTTCCTCCGCCTGTCCGTGTTTCCTCCTTCTCCAGAGAACGTCTCTGTGAGCTTGTTTGTCCTCAGGGTAACTGAGAAGCCACCCACTTGTCCATCCCGTTGTCCAGATAACTTTTGCTCACTGCTGACCAGAACTGGGTGAGAACCAGTAATTGTTACTGATTGGTTGAGAGATGATGCCGGTGCTGCTCGTCAGGGTTATGTACTCTGTAGTGAAGATCTGTTCCTGGTTGCTTATTTCTAAATTTAGTCCTCCCTGATCCCATTAGGACAGAGGAGGCTGGTAGATGCGGTGACCGTCGTTCTCCAGCAGGATCAAGGTGCTCCTCAACATATGACTTGGTGGTAGACATGTGATGTTCTTTCTGCCCACTCTTGTCATTTTCGAGGCAACTAAAACCAGGGGTTTCTTGGGAGTAGCAGAGGAGCTATTGTCGATGAAATGGAAGCAGTTTCGTTAGAACTTTCCAGGATTTATATACTACTGTATTTTCAGGTCAAAGGATAAATTAGCTTTTACATCAAACCTGGTTGAGTGAATATGAAGAATAATTTGGAAAGTCTCTAAGGCCTGTGAATGCTCACATTAGTTTATTTTTATTTACGTGGGAGAATGGGGAAAGAATTTTAAAGAGGGAGCAGTATGCTGTGCGCAAACTCTCTTATTATTTACTACCCCCTGAGACTAGTTGCATTTTGAACTAGGTGCCGGGATGAACATATGTAGTCAGTTTATCAGTTCTGTACTGCTGTGTCACAAGCGATCTTGAAAAATTTAGTGGCTTAGTGGGTGCTTCCTTGAGTGGTACGAGTAGTTAGTGACTCCCGTGCTCGCTTCACGTTGTTGGACTTCCTTCGGAGTGTGATCCACATTTCTCCAGTCTGAGTGGAGTTTTCGCTGTCCAGTCAACACTTCCATGTTTTAGGCTCTCTACTCTCC